TGACACATTTCTGGCATCAGACCAGAAGGCTGCCATTTCGCTGGTGAGAAAGGAGGGCAGTGAATGGAAATGAACATGCAATCATGGGAGAAGTTGGAGCGGTAAATTTCGCCACGTGCGCGGATACCGGACCGATATAAACCTGAGCGTTCGAGCACGCGAGGACAGCGCTGTTGTATGGTACTGTTCCCTCTGGTTTATTACTATTATTTCTTGATGCCTTCGTCCTCCTTCCCCTTTCCTCTGTATAACTCATTGTGACTTGTTAATGAATCTTCTGACATGTTGTATTGTGACTAGATAGGAATCAGAATTGTCTGGAGTATATAAAGATGTAACTATGTAGCAAAATTTCAGAATTCTGTCACCCTTTTCATTGTCTGACTGGATTCAGGCCTGCCCCTATTAGAACAATACCTCACTTGATCAAGTGTAGGATTTGTTGAACATTTTCTCAAAAACACTTGCCTATCTACAAGATTGAATACTTGACCATATGTTCAGCTCAGTTTTCCTCCACTCTTCATGCAACTATTGTCTCAGAGGAGATTTATCCTCTCAGTCAACCTCATATTTAAACATTTCAGCTGCTAAAGCTTATCATCAGTCTTCTACCCCACTATGTCTGATCTTCTCAAAATCTGGCTTTCTCAGTTTCAGCTAATACTTATGCTGCACTTGCCTCTATTCTTATCACTCTTGCTCAACACCTCACTGAAAATGAGGGCACCTTGGCTGCACTTTAGGCAGAAGGTAACTATGCAATGCACTGCAATTTTCTCCATTGAATGCTTCTTTCCAACTCCCTGCTACTTTTACAACAACTACTAATGCACACTCTCATAACCTTCATATTGACTTCTGAAGTTCCACAGTACCCTTAAAGAGAGCATCTGGGCCTTCCTTTTCATTATTCAGGACTACCTTGAGGCCTCACACATTTCCAAAGATGACTGGAGTATGTTGGACAGTGTTCTTCTCTGAGATAGAGTCCAAACTTAGTATCTCTCAAAAAATGAGCCAATGGAGACTGCTTACTAGCCTGAGATGAGCTTGGCAAAGAGCTCAAGATGTAGTACAACTCATCTTGTGAAGCAGAATATCTATTTGTACATTTAAAGAATCTAGCAAGAGATTACCAATGATAAAGCAAGCATAGTGATTGTATGAAAGCTAGTGGTGAGCTAGTGAGAGAATGCATATAGACAATAGTCAAGAATTAGTCCTCTTTATCCACAACTCCAAGATCATGACACTCTCTGATCTGATTCATATCCAATAGTAAGAGTTCACACTTGAGGGGTTTTGGAGTAAAAAAGATGATCTTCTTATTTCACAATAACTAGTTACTTATATACTGCTTCATGAGTAAACTAAAGTCATTGAGAATCATCCTTCTGAGTCATTATATAGTTATGTTACTCTATTGATTCATTCCAACTAGATGTTAGAATGTACCAATAGATGAGCTTTGGATTGCACATGTGAAGACCAGTAGAGTGCATGGACTTGGTGAAGCTATTGATAATATCACTCTTGATTCAAAGTCCAGAGATTCAGTATGGAGTGGAGTCCACAGAGGAGATGGAGTTTGGTGAAGGATTAAGATAATTCAAATGGAGCAGAATTCATCAGACTTAAGATAATGATAATGAGAACAAAGTATTAGGCTGAACTAAGTTGATATTTGAACTGAGTATCTACAATGATTATATCAAGCTTATATACTAGTGGTAACTAATTCTGAGTCAGAGTCTGATGGACTCCAGTGTTGTCTATTTGCTACCAAAATTGGATTCTAGAATTAGTATGTGAAATTGAGATGTGAAATAATAAGTGAAATACAAATGAAGTGGGCATATGATGAGCAGATTGACAGATAGATTGATAGATTGAGGACTTGGAAGCTGAAGTTGGTGTGAAGCAGAGGCCATCAGCATGCATGTAACAGTATTCTCCTCTTAGCATTCTTATCCTCAAGAGTGCAGATTCCAGTGGCCAGATGTGACTGTATAAAAATTTGTTAAAACAGTGGTCATATGATCTTTCACCTCTTATCTTATTGCTGCCATCTGCCTCTTTTATCAATGTCTTCCTCTAGTGTATACTATGTTTCAGTCACTCTTGAGCTCTATGAAGCAGTGCTAGTGCCTGATGTAAGGCTAGCAACAAACTCTTTGGATTGGAAAAATGCATTTGTATTTGCAAGATCTTTTAGTAAATGCAAGAAGAAAATCCACCAGTTTCAAAATGGATCTGACCAGAGTCCACTTTGATAGTAGAAGCAGATGCAGAAGTAAGAGTTATCATCTGCTGTGCAGGCTGAAGAGACAACAGATTCAGATGAAAGAAAAAAGACATAGATGCTTCAAACTATCTGCTTTGCAATGCTAGACTCAGAGGCTACTGAGTATGTGAAAAGCTTCTCAGATAGAAGCTAGCAGGATTTATTCTTGTAGTTTATACTGTGAAAGTATTTATCCCTCCTGAAGTACAATGCTTGTCTTTAAGTACCAGCAGATCTAAGCCAGTTGCTGCCTCTAGCATATCTTCTTTGATGATCCTTAATATTCTCTTCTTAGCTTGCCAGCCAATCTAAGTTAGTGCACTATCATCTGCTTACACTATAGATTCAATGCCTCTGGATGGATCAGCTACATCTTCTTTCTCTGGTTCAGCTCTAGAATAGCTATATACAGCTATCTAATAGCAGTGTTTTATCTGCTCCTAAGAGAGTAGCCACCCACTAGTGAGAATGCTTCAGGTTTATAAATATCTGTCTCTGAATATTTGATTCTATCAAGAATAATATAGTGCAATGCATCTAGAGAACAGACAGTGGGTGAGTATAAGCCTCTTTAGTGTAGATTGCTATATGTTCCACAGATGAGCAGTTCCTCAGAGTAGATTAGATAGAATCCCATTTCCACAAGATAACAGAATGCTGAGTAGATGTCAAACATCTAGGATAGAGTTCTTCCTGATGCTTTAGCAAAGCAAAAGCCAGTAAGGCCAAATTTAATGCTCATATAGATTGGTGCAGCACAACCAAAGAGAAGAAAAATTGTGAGTGTCTCCACTTATATGTTGTCCAATAAGTGAGCAGGCAGTGATCACTCTAATAAGATCCCACTATCATAAAAGTAGAGATAGAAGGCCTATGAAAAACAGTTCTATAGATAATTTAGTCCACTTAGCCTCAGCACAGAGCACTGATCTCTCTAGCATTCAGTCTGCTCTCACATAGCTATATGAGATAACAGAGACTGGCAATGAGCAATAAGCCAATATCTTTATATGTACAGTTATCAGTCAGCTGTGAGATGCCATCAGATTTACTCTCAACCTGATTCTCTCCATCTGTTACTCAACTAAGATTGTAGGGCAGCATTTCCTTCACTGAGTGAAAGACTTTTTGGCATATAATATGAGTTTTATAGTGTCAATCTTGTTAAGCCTAAGTTACATATGACCTAAACACATGGTAAGATAATGCTGTCTTGTGTTTAGGCAGTCACATTATAGTCCACTATGCATGTTATTTGGCTCTATGTGGCAAGGCTATTCAAGAGGCTCAAGATAGAATGGTAGAAGAATAAACTTTAGCTCAAAGCTGAGGTTACTACAGTGAGAGCTACACTACTTATATATTAGTCATCATCCATCTTAAAGATATAACTACCTTATTGTGCATCCTGGCACTATAGAGCATCTTGTTTAGTGTTGTTAAGCTACCTACAAAAGGGTATTATCTGTTACTGAGCAGTTACTGTCATGTTGAAGGACAAGGATCG